ATGGATTTCCTGAAATGGTGTTCTCTAGTTTCCTCTGTAGCTTTGTTGTTTGTGCTCTCATCTCTCAGATCTGGATCAATACATGTCAGAAAATAGTGCCAAGGTACCACTTTATTGCTCTCTGGCAGGTCTCCTGCATCAATCAGATGTTCTGTTTAATACTGGCTTTTGGCTTGAGCTTAAACAGCACAGATAAATTTTTCTGGTGTTTGATATATGACTGACCAGTACATTTATGACCATTCACACTTCGTTGCATGTTTTCCTGAAGTTGCCTAGATAAGGTAATGGCAGGGCCAAGCACTACAATACCAGGAAAAGTCTGCATGGTGTATCTAATAAATGCAGAGGAAAGAAGAAATGCTTCTTGTTGGTCAGACTCCTTTCATGGAGCATACCAATAGCAGCTAGAGCCCTGGATGTCCTGCAGTGGGATCTGACAAGCCGAGGCTCTCTACTGCGGTGAGCCAGCTGCCCTGTCCTATGGACAGTTTTGTCTCTAGTCTCAAGGGAGCTAGTTAGGTTGGACTGCTTGGTACAGGAATGCTGGGAAGAATCTGATGATTCCACAGAAAATAATGGTCTGAAATAGGGCAGATAAAGAAAAAACTAGTGATAGAAACTTTGATGTTATAGTATGGCATCAACCGAAGATTGAATTGAAATATAGATGGATCTCTCTTTCTGGAAACCTATGTTTTCAGTAGCAGTTCTTAAAAACTCATGCTCTGGAAAGTCAAAGGGTGGCATTGTCTGCAAGTGCTGCACTATCTGCTTCTTTGTATCAAGCTAACAGAGGCATAATGAAGCTCTTTAGTTTCTTATCTACAAATATGAGATATGGTTTCCCGTCCCAATAAGACTTTCACTTCTATTTCCGAGGAGTAAAGATGAATAAAATAGATAACATAACAACTGACTCAGAGCATCTCCCGAATCTAAGCTATCTCACCAGACGTTTAGAACACTGAAGCAAACTAACCATGAAATCAGGGATGGCTTGAATTAAAACTGGAAAATTCCAAATTCTACATCATCAGGGACCTGCATGAAAAGATCTTAACTAATACACTGCAGAATGCAAATGGGAAGAGGTTCCTCTCTGGTTTGAATTTGATTCCTGGGCTGTCTCCTGCTTTTCTGAAGCAGCTGCAGTCTGTTTTGCCTTCACCCTTGCCTCTCTTCCCTTCTGAGCTGTTCTTTGTCTTGGTTTGTGATGGAAACAAGACAGAATGGTCCAAGTCCTTCTGTATAGGCTTTACAGCATGATTTTGCAGGCAGCATGCAATGCAGATATGAATCACAAGTCCCTCTAAGATCCTGCTGAATTCAATCCCCCAGCTCTTTCATCTGGCTCAGAACAGGCTGCAGATTTTTTTAATTTTTTTTTAATCTAAGCAATAGCCAATTTACTCAAGAGATGAGTATTTGCTGACTGTTGCTGCTATTCATATGCTCAGAACTGCAAAGCCTTTGGAAAACGAGGCTGGCTCGTGCTTATGTCTACAAACTGGATTTCAAATCTGGCTTGGATTCTTTTTTCCAGCTCTGCAAGTGACTGACATGTTCACTTCAGAGTAGTTTCCTCCTGAGACAAGCCGTGGGCTGTGCCCCAGTGCCAGGCAGTGGTTGCTGCATGTTCAGTCGTACACTGAAGGCACATTCTGCAGTACCCTGGAGATAGGGGTGAGCTGAGGACAGCAGCAATGATTCAGAGCTGCTTTGCATTTTGGTCTTGATAATAGTTGACTGCAAATAAAAATCTTCAGTATTATCTAAGATGCAAATCAGATCACACTTCAATAACACCCCTGTGTTATTAAGGTTATTTGAAAGAAAACACTAAAAAGTGTTTTTGCTTGGTTGAAATTTAAGTATGGCTGAGGTTGTCACAGGTCTGTCCATAATTGTTCAATAAAAGGTTTCATACTAAAGAACACATCATTTAAATACAGAAAAGTCTGTGTTATGGCTGTAATCCTTCAGCACCTGGCATAGCAGAGAAATACTTCTGTTTCTCTCCCTTCCCCTCTGGTGGAGCCTCCTCACTAGCTGTCCTGCTGTCTGCAGCCTGTCTCAGCTCCCTTGGTTGGGCAGGGGTTGTTCTGGGGCTATGGCCATGCTGGGAACAAGAATGGTGCAGGCAGGTGGAGGACGGGATGGGCTTGTGTCATGACAGTGCTCTGCTTATATGAGGCGGTTGTATTTAGTGCATTATTTTTCTTCTTTGTTTGCTTATTTGTTTGGATGCAACATGGACTTTAACAAGGAAGAAGGGAAAACTGTATTTGAAAGTGGATTTCAATTTAAATTCTTTGAAATACAGAAGCCAGTTGCAGCATGGCCTCTGCGGATAGCCTGACTAGCTAATATGCAAGAACATTTCTGATTTGAAAAGATCTTATTAGTTACTCCTGTAAGCAAAGCAGCTGGTGTGACCCTGGTGTGTTGCACTTGTATTATTGCTGTGAGCCAATAGCTCAGCCTAGGGGAGAAGGTAACCTACTTACCCTCTGGAAGCAGCTACTGTGGGACTGCAGAAATTAGTATTTCTGTGACTCTTACTGATGCTATCTGAGAGCCTGAGGTATTAACCCACGGGACTGGGAGATGAAAGAACTGAACTGAGGGCATGCCCTCGCTGCCCATGTGAGATGGTCTTGGGCTCCTTAGCAGATGTGGCTGATATCATATGGATTCTTCCCATATGCATCTCCTTCCACCATAGGAGCAGGGGTATCCCTCCTGCAGTGGGCAGGGAGACAGAGGTCTGTGGAGAAGGGCAGCAGAAAACAAGGGGGCATCCATCCCCAAACACCGGTGCGCTGCTCAAGAAGAGGACGTGCTGCTCATGTCTCAACTCAGCTGGTGGATATTGAGGGCTGCTTGGTCTAGCTCTGGTTTAGTGCTCTGGTGTGTCCAGACCAGAGAGTTTGCATAATTCAGTGATGAGTTAAATAGAGGTTTGTATAACCAAGATGTTATAATGTATAACCAAGATGTTATAATTGCAATATAATCAAGAGAGTAAAGCAAAGCAGACAACGATCACAAAAGAGAATAAATGGAAGAGCTTACCCTTGGGTTGAGCTCACCAGAAGATACCAAAAGAGGGGATCTCCAGAAGAGATCCTTCCCCTCTGGTAGCCAGCTCTTAAATAGGTCCAGGAGGGGTGGAGCCTGGCTCCACCCCTTCCGGCAGCACAGGTGAATTGCCTTCACCTGTGCTCCTCTGGCTGACTCAAGGCTCACCTCAGGTGATTAATCAGAGGTTCAGGCCGTGACTCAGCAGTTCCCATACAAGGTTCTACAAAAATTGAAGAGAGCAGTGGGAAGGGGTCTAGGTTGGGTCAGGTATCCTGCACTAATAAATGATCTATGATACCAAAACTCAAAGAACAAGAAGTATTACAGGGCTTGCTGGAAGGAAAGGAAGCTGCTGTACTGCCAGAAGCAAGAATGCTGGGGAGCACAGTGTAAGGTATCAATACTGACCAACCCCACATCAAGTCAGGCTGGGGGCAGCACTTTTCACATCAAAGCTACTGTGTTTTTCCAGAGTAGCAATGGTCATGCAGAAAGCATTTCCAGGTGATTTACAGAGTTACTGCATTCAAGGCAGTCATCAAAAATACATAAAGAAAGCAGAGTGCGGGAGGTAGATGGAGTGTGCCAAACCTCTGGCTGCCTGAGAGCAGAGGGTTCTGTTCATTATGTGGAACTCCATGTCACCAGGCACCAGAGATGCTGCAGATCATTGTGGCTTCTCCAGAAGCTGTTACCTGACCCATAAGAGAATTTTCACTTAATGAACCTATCTCATCATCATACAGAGAGACAAGTGAATGCCGCTCTCTTCCCTTGCAGTGCTTGATTATAATAGGAATTGCATTGCTGAGATTTACTAGAGATGCGTTTTCACTGCATGCTAACTGTAAGTGAACTGTAAATACACCAGGCGCTGGCAATTTCCACTCATTGCCTGAAAATATCATTTCTGCAGCAGCACAGCTCCGCAGCTAACCTAATAAATACTTGTGCTGAGCAGGGCTCATTATCTCCAGTGCAGCACTGCCCTGGCATAGCTGCACAGCTCCCCACTCCAAACAAGCCCCAGCTAAGCTAATTCTGGATGTCTGCACTGTCCTTCACGGTGTGGTGGAAACAGGCCCTGAGCAGTGCTGGCAGAGGAGTGGTGCATGCGTGCTGTGGTGCTCCTCTGCTCTATACTTAATGAGGAAGAGCTGGACTCCAAAGCAGCAGTTGCTTAACAGCTCCTCTTGAAAATTTGTCTCGGAGTTGGGTAATGCTGTGGTTGCCTCACTCCTGATTTTGGAGCAGCCAGACTTTAGTCTCTTCTGAAACACTGCTTGATAACGTGATGTGCCTCTGATCAAAATGTTGACTGGTATGTTCAGAACTCCTTTTTTCCTAAAAAGCAATTACTGATGATGTAGGTAACTACTAAATGGTGCTCCTCTGACACACAAGAGAAATGGATTTGTCTCCAAAATCTGGTTGCCCAAATAAACCTGCCTAAAACTTGCAGAAGATGTTGGGAAGTGAAGTAAAATAGTGTGCAGAAAATATCTGAGAGTGCTTTAACTCAAGCTCTTCAAGATCTGGAAGATAAAGAGAAGTGAATCTGAAAAAATAGAGAAAGATATTTAAATGAGGAGAAAGATGAACGACCATGTCTTGTCAGAGCCAGGTTTATGAAGGTTCAGGTCTGTTTGTATCTTAATATAGGAAAATGCCTTATATGGCAAGGATTAGATGAGCCTGTTTTGGAGAAGTAATCCCAGTCAGCTGTGCTGACAAGGTGCCCACTGCTGTCACTCTATAAAGAGTCACAATTTGTCTCAGAAAAATTACAAAAATATTTCTTGTCCTAAAGAGAAGTTGCCTTGAGAAAAGGAGATGGAGGGATGCGTTAGGGCAAGGCTGCATGTTTCTTTCCTGCTAATAATTCCAAATGTGACTTTTTTTTCTTACTGTAGTACTGGATAAATGAATACACCTCCACCTTGGGCATTGGTGTCTTCCATTCTGGCATTGAGATCTACGGCAGAGGTATGAAGTATTTCCTTTTCATTATCTTCAGTACATGGGGAAAAAAAAACAGCGTGGCTGGTCTGATCTGGAAAAAAATCCAAAATTTATAGTTTTTGGCAAGAATGTTTTGAGCAGTGAAAAACTCGACCAGTTCTGTTTTAATTTGTTGGGTAGTCCAGCTAGAACTTCTGCAGTTCTGCCATGAACCAAGTAGCCCTTCTGATCTTTAGTGTGTAATTGCAGACTCTATAGCTTGTGCAGGCATGTAGCAGAATAGCAGGAAGGACCAGCAGTGTAGGAAAGTCTGGGGTGGGGGAAGAGAGATGGATCAGTAGCTGTATTGAAACCTATATAAGGAAAGTTTGTGCTAATTCTGTGTCAGAGTAAACCAGCTTTGTGTTAGTTTTTATCAGCGTCTATGGTCTGTAAGTTTTGAAATAACCAAGTGGTTTGAAGCTGAGTAGAGCATCCAAGGGATGTGGTCAAAGTGTCTGTGAGAAGAGATGCAGCAAAGTGAAGCTAAAGGACAGGACAGCATCACGGACTTTCCGTTTCCCCCTTCAAACAGCGTTAAATGGGACTGACTGAAATTATCTTACTCATGGTATTTTTAGCTAGTGCCATGTAGCAGATAAAATGCCAGGGGTGCTGTGCTCTATCTCAAGCACAGTAGCTTTCATAGGCCATGTGAGATGGCCCATATAACATGGAGGGGCCTCCAGGCTTAACCCACATGCTAAGGCAGCAGAATGTAATTAGCTTGGGTTTTTTTTCCAGCAAAGAATTCCTCATAGCTGCCTGCAAATCCCTCTGGAAGAAGAGGACAGATTTCTTTCTACTCTAGGAAAGGCTTCTCCCAGCTCAGTATCACTGCTGACAGCCTCTCATAGTATTTCCAGATGCCTCTGCCACTCAACTTTGTACTGACAGGAAGCCATGTGGACAGGCACAAAGAGGTGGACCCAGCAAGCTTTTCTGGCACTGAGAAGTAGATTAGCAGTGCTAGGTACTAATTAGCAGTGCAACCAGCAGTATTAGCACTGATGGAACCTGCTCTGGATCTGAGGCTTTGAGGGTATCCTCAGGCTGCTAGGTAACTGGGCAGAGAAAATGTCTTTCAGAGGCTGGCTGAAGCTGATTTTGGCAATGGCCCAGCCCCTGGTGCTGATGCTGAGCTTTAAAGACAGCTGCCATCCTGACACAGAGTTCATTCGATTACTCACACTCTGTCTGTTTTCTTTCCTTGTCAGAGTTTGCCTATGGAGGGCATCCCTACCCTTTCAGTGGGATTTTCGAGATCACACCTGGCAGTGCGGTAGAGCTTGGCGAGACCTTTAAATTCAAGTAAGGGCCCTTTTCTACATTTTCTTTCCCTGCTAGTAGCTGTCTCTGTAGGGAGAGCAGGGAGTCCTTTCCCCCCTTCTCTCTCATTAGCACTCTCACTGCCTCCTTTACACAAACCTTGTTCAAATGGAGCTCTGCAGGGGTTCTTGATGGCTGATAAAACTTACACTAAATGAGGAGTGGTGCTGAAGTGTGTTTAGAAGGGTTTAAAAGTATAGTTATAAATCAGTGTAGTTCTCTCTTCCCATTTTCTTTGCTTTCCGTGCTCCTGGTTTTACCTATCAGCAATAATGGAAATAACTGTGTGATACAGAGCCAGTGCATGGGGAAATAAAAAGCTACTCTTTTTATGAGCATCACCTTGTTATGGATATTGCAGAAGTCATCTCTTGTGTTTATACTTAGGCTGTCACAAAAGACAGGCCAGCTTACTAGAGGAGTCTGAGAGGATACTTCATTAAGGGGTTGTTCAAGGTGCTCGGGCTTTGGGGCTGTGGTTCAAGGAACTGCCCTCAGAAGATGGGACTTGACTTTCACAGGCTATGGGTTTACACTGGTGGTGCTGCAGACTTTAGAAGAACAAGCACTATTGAGTGAATACTGAGAGAAGCAGTATGTTCCCACATAAAGCTCTGTCTGCTCCTTTGTGGCCCATACCATGGAAAACGTCTCTATGACGGGAAAACTGTCTCCACTGTCCTACTGTGATTTTCTGCTGAGCAGCTATGGATATAGGGGGAAACAAGCAGATGTCCCTGAGATGTCCCTGGTGGTGAGCAGAAGGCTCTGGGGACTGCTTCTGTGCTGTAATCTGCTTTACGGATAAACTTGAGGATATTAGCATGCCATTTTTTTAAGTGAGAATCTGTCTGATAGCCCCAGATATGCATGTTGATGACTTACACCTGGCCTTCTTGCAATTGCCTTATCATTTCCTTTTTCCTGGTGACATATCACTCTCTTCATTCAAGCTTTCCATGTTTCCTGTTGTGCTTTGTTTTTACTAGAGAATCCATCGCACTAGGCACCACAGACTTCACAGAAGAGGATGTGGATAAAATTATGGAAGAGCTGGGCAAAGAATACAAAGGCAATGCATACCACCTGATGCACAAGAACTGTAATCATTTCTCTGCTGCTTTGGCTGAGGTGGGCACAGCTGTTTTCTTTCTCTCTCTTTTTTGTTTTTTGCTGTTTCAGATCTGTAGTAGTGCTTACAGAAGGGGAAACAGAACCAGACCATCCTGCCAAGTCAGAGCCAAGAGTCAAATCTCTTGTCTCAGCCCTTAATGTTTTTGACAGCCTGTTGATGTTCAAAAAGAAAGGTTAGGAGGTAGAGATGCAGCAGGTTTATTACTGGTTTGGTTTAAACTTCCTGTAAGACTTGGACGTCCTGCATCCAAGCTCATTGAATAGGCTGCAGAGCAGAAATTGCAAAGACAAACCTGGCCAGCACTCAAACTTCTGTCATTTTAATAGCAAGAGCATAAACAACCCTCCGTGATCTGAAAATGAATAAAAATGGCTTAAGTGTTCTGCTAACAAAATATTGCAGTATTCAAGAAGTGAGTGTTCTATTTTTTTATTAGCGTGCACTATTTTTAATTTTTTTTTTTTTTTTTTTTTTTTTAAGTATTGACTTTTTTCTCATACTTCTTTGATGATTATACATTTCCACTTTGCCAAAAATACTGAATTGTAGGAGAGCTGTTATTTCTGCTCAGAGAGAACTGAAGCATGGAAAAGTGCAAATTTATCCTGAATTTCTGTTAATTTGGGATATTCCATTTTTCAATTGACCAAGATCCTACAATTCTGAGGGAAAGTTGCATTTCCTCCATTCCCCGCTGAGATGTTCAAAGTTGATGTTTCATTAAGGCATGTGTCTTCAGCACTTGCATAAATCTGAATTTCGGATCTTGACCTGTGCCAGAAAAGAAATAAGAAACAGAAAGTGCAATTGACCTTCTATCTAAAACCAAGACCATGTTTCTGTGTTTTCTGCAGGAATTGTATGGCAAATACAAGGATAGAAACTTTTTTTACTGAGTTCAACTACTTTAACTGCAAAACTTTCACTTCATTTTCTGGTGTCCCCATCCTCAGTCACTGCAAATCTTTCACCTTTCCTCATTATACAGAGCAAGAGTCCAATAGTTTCTTTTGCTACAAGTGACCATTTCCAAACAAGGCCCACCATGGATCCTAAGTGAGATGAGTCTGTAAAAGAAAAAAAGCCACCACCATCAACAACAAAACATGCATGATGGTTTTTTTGTTTTGTTTTGAAGAAAACCTCTAATGAATCTGAGAACCAGCAATTAATTTGTGAGGGACTCACATACACTCTTAGGAAAACTAATTCTTAATTGATTTCACCTTTGCTAACTATTGGAAGGGAAAATGACATGAGCCCATTCAGTAAATGCTGTCATGTTAAAATAAGCAAGGAGAAAATGTGTCAGTACAGAATGAGTTTCAAGCAGTAGAGTGTCTGAACTACTGTTTTGGAATCAAATCATTAAATTACCACAGAAAGCTTACAGATTATTAAAACAAAATGCAAACTTAAATATTTTGAAGGAAACCTAACAGAAAGCTGTATGATTATTAGTGAAAGCTAAAGAAAGCTTTACTTGGAGCAGTGAAATAAGGCCATTGCTTATTATATACTTTGACATGTAAAAGCTCTGTCTCATGTCCAAGCCATAAGCTCAAAGCCCTTTTGCCTTGATTCTGCTGGAACACATCAGCAAACTTTTTACTGCCCTTTCCTTACCCAACCTTTGAAATGTAAGTCAAACAAGACAGAGGTTAATAGGAAACTAATAGTATATTTTAAGTTTAAGATTTGTAGTAAAGGTGAAGTAAACCTTCAGTGAACACCTTATCAGGAATGGAATGTAGGGTTAGGTTGTCCTACATTCACTTTCTTAACAGATTAAGCAGACCCATATGCATGGACTTGTTGCTGCCCCTTAACACACCCGGATAATAAAATAAAAGCCTAAATAGCTAGTTCTGACATTTCTGCTCTCATCCTCTTCATTACTCATATGGGTAAATCAAGGTGGGAAATCCATCTAAAATATTAACAGCATGATCTAACCACCACAGAACTCAAAAGGTCAATTTAATAAATCCTTCAGAGCCAAGCAGGATTATTTTGCTGCTCTTCACATAAGATTGTGCTCATTACCCTTGTCTAAACTATTAAAAATGCAAAAATAGAGGAGGTACACTTCAGGTCGAGGAGTAGGAGGCCCTGGATGGTCTCTAGCATCAAGATAAAGAAAAAGGGGCCTAAAAATCTTAAATAGCCAGTGTTAAGACAATAAGAAGTCAAAGCCATTCAATGTGTCTCAGTCAGCAAAACTAGAACTACATGTGACTACCTTATGACCGATGTCTCCATCCTTTTTTGTAAGTGCACTAATTTGACAATTACTCTGTTTTAGAGCTAGAGGTGTGAGAGAAGTAGCATAGCTTAGTTCGGGACAGTTCTGACCACATGGTTGAAGACTGCTTGAAATCTGATGAGGCAGAACCTCTCGAACTAAAAGCAAGTTTCTATTCTCATTTCTCAACATCTGAATGCTAGCTTTACTTTGCAGCCTTAGTGCTTTCTTTTGTTTTTGTAGTACCCATTAAAAAAAACCCAACCAGCTACATGTAGAGTTCCAAGGCAGAACCTTCAGCTGGTAAAGGTGAGCAGAATGCATTAACTGCGTGACACGTGGCTCTCAAGACTACGGAAATACGTCATCACAAAATGTAGAAAAGAGAACTGAGATCTGTGCTCTAAACCAATGCTGAGACTAGTCTTGGTTTTTATATTGTCCTTTCATGCTCTCCTTCTGTGCAGGAGTAATAGTAATACTAATTAGCATTTATTTATGCACAGTTACATTAAGCGGCAGTTAAAAGCAGAAAATGGGAACAAGTATTCAGAGAATTAAAAGAAAGGATGTTAGAAGCTTTGTTTGGCAAAATAAATGTGCCTGGGGCATAAGCAGTGTGGTGAGTTCAGAAGATTGTTCTGAGCCTCCTGCCTAATGCCAGGCAAGTCACATCCTTGCTTTGTGCATGAGTATCCTATCTTGTATGCTGGATTACTTCCTTCCTTTGAAAAGAACTTTGAAATCTTTTGATGAAAGCTGCCTTATCTGCCATGGTGAATTAGCTGGCTTGTGGCTTGTACTGCTCTGTATCAGCAAGCAAAGTGGGAGCTGGGACTTGATAGCTGTGTGGTGATCATAGAGTTAGAGAATTGCTCAGGTTGGAAAAGATCATAAAGATAATTGAGTCCAATCACGACCTCACTGTGCTACCCTACGTCTAGCAACCCTCTGCTAAATCATGTCCCTGAGCACTACATCCAAATGGTTTTTAAACACATCCAGGGATGGTGTCTCAACCACCTCCCTGAGCAGCCTATTCCAGTGCTTAACAACCCTTTTTGTAAAGAAGTGGTTTTTGATATTTAACCTAAACCTGATGTGTGAGTTAATGAGTTCACACAGATATATCCGGCAGGCCTTAGGACTCGGCTGTATGGCTATGTACTTGATGGCCATGTTTGGTCTTCCTGATGTCCTCACTTGGCTGTGGACTTGCTAATTAGTATCCATACAGACCTTGCCCTGGTGGCTGGTCTGCAGACTGGGAGGATCCCATCTGGTTACCTGCACTGAAGGAGCTGCAGCCGAAGCCTTGATTCTGCTGAGAAGATGGATGGGAAGGCATAATGCTGCATTTTCTGGCAGCTTTCATGGAGAGTGAATAACTGAACATGTATGACCAGGGTTCTTCTCCTGTGGATTTTTTGAGAAACACTTAATCATTTGGGAATTGTAGGGTACTTGAGAAGTAAAGAACTGCCTGATAGATGTAAATCTCTGCCTATTAAGTGCTGCAGACTGTCTTCAGTTCTGAATGAAGTTCTGCTGTAATGCAGTGCAGAACTTCTTAGTGAGCAGCAGGCAGTCATGTAGGAGAAACTAGAAGCACTTCCTGAGCGCATGCCCCACTTCAATTTCAGGCACCTGACACACCATCACTGGATACCATTTTGTGGCTTTCCTTCATCCTCACAATATGTCAGTGAGGGAAGGTGAGGGAGCTCGATCTAATTAGTGAAAGTCTAGTTAGTGTTGTCTCAGCCACTCTGACTGCTATATGGTCTTGTGGTACCTGTTTTTATAAAACCACTTAAGCAAATTAGTTGTGGGTTACAGTAAAGAGGTTCATCAAACTGGGATTAGGAATTTGTGTACAAGGAACTGGTTCATTTCAAGCTGCTTGTGTTGGCAGTGACCAAAATCAAATAGTATCAGCATCATGCTATCTGAGAAACTCATCAGGAGGACGGGCAATCCTGGGGGGCTTATGCCTGCAATTTCTTCAAAAGAAAATCAGTTGTACCACCAGTATCAGAGCCCAAGATTCCTGCATTGTTCTGAGCTTCCGTGCCTTGCTGTCTGTTGGTATTGCAGGTACTTCAGGGAGGGGATGCTGCAGGCACGCAGCAAAGATTTTAGCATGCTGATAGTGTTGTGTATGTGGATTAAGTCAGGACGACTTCAATATTGGGTAAAGTCCTTCTGTTTGATCATCTGCTGGTAAGTCACTGTGTTTCTGACAATCCCAACTGTACATGCAAATGGCCCTCCAAGGAACAGCAAAATATTTATATTCTTTATGAGTTGCCCTGCCTGACGAAAGAGGTTATTAAAACTCTCACAGATGGAAAAAAAAAAAAAAAAAAAAAATTGACTACTAAATATTAGAAAAACCCTTTAAAATAAAAAAGACAAAAATGATTAGATCTTTCCATAACACAATTTATTGAATTTCCTGGTTTTCAGAACAAGGACATGATATAGCAAAAGGATAGAAGTTGTAAATTGCTGTAAAGCAAACATAAAGGAAGAAGAAGGCCTGTCAGCCTGACCTCAGTACCGGGGAAGGTTATGGAGCAAATCATCTTGGATGAGATTGCACAGCATGTACGCAGTGTCCAGGGGATCAGGCCCAGCCAGCACGGGTTCGTGAAAGGCAGGTCGTGCTTGACCAACCTCATCTCTTTCTACGACTGGGTGACTAGTCTGGTAGATGAGGGAAGGGCTGTTGATGTAGTCTTCCTAAAC